GCTCAGATGAGTTGGTCGTGTCTTTTTACAGTACTACGGCTTCCACAGATGACATTTTTTTATAGATTTGTCAAAGCACTTAAGATATTCATTGCTATCGGGATGTTAAGAGCATTCCATGGAATATAACAAAAAGTGTATCTCGAGCCGGTTTCTCAAACTTACATACCCAACCTTCAAGTAAAAAGATCCCCACTAGGTGAAATCTAGACAGGAACACTACCTAATCCTTAGTGTAAACAACGTTTTAAACTGAAGCACTTGTTGAGCACTTGCTGATCAGTTGCTGCCCCCCGAAGTGCGAAGAAGGTTCTGGAACTGTACTTTTGATACATAATAGTGGATTTGAGTACCTCTTCCACAACTGCACAGACGGTACAGCATGTCATAGTTAAAATATAAGAACATAGAACTAACTAACTTAGAGGAGTGAGAAGGGGAAGGAGAGAAAGCGATGGATCTCATGCAGGAAAGTATAGGCAAACGGAAAGGGAAAGAGTAAGTGACTGACGCACAGAGCGGGATGAGGGGTGCCTGGCGAGAGACAGACTGAGGTAATGGATGAGAGGAGAGAGGGATTAGCTGAGTGACAGAGATGAAGGGATGCTCTCTGGTGTCACCCGTCCTCACTCTCACTCCGTCTATCATTCATCAGGAGCATCATGGGGCTCCAGTGTGTGTGTGTGTGTGTGTGTGTGTGTGTGTGTGTGTGTGTGTGTGTGTGTGTGTGTGTGTGTGTGTAATCAATTTGTTTGCATATATTTCAAACTCTGTTTATGTGTGTACTCTATTTATTAATATTCCTTCCGTCAATCTTTCAATATTAATGTGTGCCATGTGTCTGTGTCCAAAGTGCATGTTTTAAAGACATACAGAATGCCATGTATGTGTTTTGTATGTGTGCGTCTACATCATGCGTCTCCTTCTAGTTGCCCATCTGGTGCTGCTATGCTGTGCTGCTCAGCCAGCTCTCTAATAGCTCCAATAAGCCTGTGGTTTGCTGCCTCATACACACATGCACACATACATACACCAATATGTACACACTGGTGGATGAATACACACACATACTTACACAGTGTTAACACAAACCTTTATACACATGCTCCTCTCGCTACTATTATTCTTCCAAGAGAAAGAGGCCGAAAAATGACCATTTATTTACTTTAAGCTCTGGGGCTGTGGCAAGACAGGCTGCCAGTACCAGAAAGAAAAGAGAGAAAAGAGGGAGTAGGAAGGCAAAGGGTAGGAGAACAACAGAAGAGGACAGAGGGAGGAGCGGTGGACCAACAAGAAAAGAATGAGCCAGAAGGAGTTACAGGTTGAGGGAGAGGGAGAGAGTTCGCTGGGGGATGTGGAGTAGCGAGCTGTGGTTTGGTCCGCTGCAGCGGTTGGTTGTGTTACAGTCTGGCTGTGGCTTGTGTGGGTTAGGCTGAAACGAGCAAGCAAACAAACCCGGGCAAGAAAGTAGCTGAAATGCACTTGAAAACACACATTAGAAGTGCTTAATAAACCTATCTCACAAGTGATTTTCGTCCATGTTGAGGTTTGGAAAGTGTCTGATGAGACAAATTATGGTTCACCTCATGCATTTCAAATATTTTGTGTGTGTTTATGTTTGTCCAGGTCTGCTGGAGGGAGCCCTGCCCTGCCTGGCCCGTCTGCTGGTGCTCCGATCAGTAGCTGAGTGTCTTTCCAGCTAGCAGAGCCACCCTGGGTCCAGTTCCAACTAACTGAGAACTTATTTACATGCGGGGGGAAAGTACACCTTTTCAAAGATGTCTTATAAGTCATTTCTACGCAGACAAATATTTCTACAAATGTAAACAGGACAAATTGTCAACTTAGCTTTGACGTGATTCCTCTGGATGTGGTGGATTATGCTCAGATTCAAAGCCAGGTTGTTCCAGTTTATCCAACAAAACAGGTCTCTCTTTAACTAGATGTTTATTTGAATCCCCTTGGGAAAAGCCATATGTTGCCAGAGTACACAGACCTAATGTGGTTTGGGGAGTTTACCTCAGAGCGCACACTACAGGTGCAGTAGTAGGAGTGTGCTGCACTGCTCTGGAGATAAGATGCTGAGATCGGAGGCTAGCATGTGTCCCCCAAACCCTGAGCAATATGTCCCGAGTCAGCACGGAGATACAGACCACCAGATTGAGTGACTGACACACACACGTACACACGCACGCACGCACGCACGCGCACGCACGCACACACACACACAACCACACACACACACACATACACACACTTCTTTCTCTGAAGGCCAACGTTGCCACAGTTACCTGCTCTCTCTTTCTGTTCCTTATTCCGTCTTTTTCATCCCTCTCTCTCCCTTTCTCATCCTCTGTTAATCTGTTCCAGAGCATTGTGATCACATGGAAAAAAACATAGCAAGTGCACATATTTCCCCCTTAGCCAAGAGTGAAAAAAAGAACACATACACACACACACACACACACACACACACACACACACACACACACACACACACACACACACAGGGGTGGGGTGGGATGTAGGGGAAGGAGTGGGGTGTATGATGGGGTGAAAAAAAAGGCGAAATAAACTGTTTATTCAAAGGCAGCGCTGAGCCCTTTTGTTGTGGTGGGGACCTGTCTTTTATTAGCAGCCTGAAAAGCCTTCAAAGGCTGGAAAGACAGAGGACATGCCAACAGACGAGTGTATACAAGGCAGAGGAGAGAGGAGGGGAGGGGGAGATGGGAGAGAAAGGGGGGACGGGAAGGGGACAGGGCAAAAAGGTTTAGAAAGGAGGCAAACGAATAGGGTCTGGGGACATGAATGGATAGAAAGGTCTTGGGGGTGGGGGGTGGAGGAGATGATGGAGGCTTGAGAACTGAGATTGTGCCACTGGCAGTGAGGACACGGAGAGAAGGCCAGTGCAGAAGGAAAAGGGGGGTGCTGGGACCGTTCCAGATGGACCATAATATGGGGGAACTGTTCAGAACTGTTCTCATATGTTTGCAGCTTTTAACTGGCAGGACTTTCACAGAGTCTTGTAACTGATTTTGTCAGTTTGTGTGCATGTGTGTTTGTTGGGGAGGTTAAGAGGAGAATGATGTTTTATATCAGGTCTTGATAGTTAAAAAAGAGTTCTGGCAAAGATTATTTGGTGTGTGTGTGTGTGTGTGTGTGTGTGTGTGTGTGTGTGTGTGTGTGTGTGTGTGTGTGTGTGTGTGTGTATACCTAAATCTGCACACAGTTAAGAGTGTGTTTGTCGGCGTGCTGTGTGGTAGGTGTTTGTGTGAATAAACGTACATGTGTGGGGGAGATGGATGTATTTGGGGATAGGTTGGAGAGGCAAAGGAGACATTCCCTCATTGCGTAACTTCATATCTCTTATCTCTGCTCTCAAAGCAAACTGTCAATGCTGCGTTCCCATCTCTCCTTCTTTCTTTTTTTTCTCTCCCTTTCTTTTCTCTCTCTCTTTCTAAATCAAGTCTTCAGGGGCCGAACCTTTGTGCTTTCCTCCCCTCTCATCCTGCTTTCCATCTCATCTACTAAGTATTGAAGCTGTTTGTCTACTTTGGAAAAGTGCTGTTAAAGTGATCCACTATGATACAACCTTAAAGTGTTTGTGTGCACTACAAAAATGCTGATGGTATGAACCATACGTGTGTGCATAATGCGTGCAATCTATTTTAGTGTGTTGTGTGTATGCGTGCGCTCTGTGCACAGTGACCGCTCTTGAAGCCGAATCAAAGTGCTCTGCTTTCAATAAGAGTCACAATCAGCAAAGTGGCAGCAAGCAATGACATCACTGCAGCTGGGTCCCCAGCTGGAGCACAGAAAGGACTTTGGCGTGTGTGCGTGCGTGCGCGCGTGTGTGTGTGTGTCAAAGACCAGCATATAGGTTATTTGTAATACGCATGCTTTATGCAGTTCGTAAACTCTGTGGTGGTGCAAAACGCAAGCAGGTCCGTGTCAATGAAGAACCTTTTTGTGTGTGTGTGTGTGTGTGTGTGTGTGTGTGTGTGTGTGTGTGTGTGTGTGTGTGTGTGTGTGTGTGTGTGTGTGTGTGTGTGTGTGTGTGATGGCTCGTAGTGTAAGTGAGATTTCCAACCTCAGTCGTCCCCATCAGTCTCTCTGCACATTCTGTGCCGTGTTTCTATTGGAGCAGACAGTGCTGCGGTGAGAAAAACAACAGGAATTTCATCTGTCATTGATTAAGCCCATTAACGGTGGTGTCTGATGTCTTTTACACTCATTCCACACACACCGACATACAGCTGCACTCACAAACACACTGAGTTGCATACACTCACACAAACACACACCCTGACTCCCCACGCACTGCATTGCTACCAAGACTGCCATACAGTAACGGACAAACCATGGAATATCATCAAGATCCACACCATTTGTGTGCGTGTGTGTGTGTGTGTGTGTGTGTGTGTGTGTGTGTGTGTGTGTGTGTGTGTGTGTGTGTGTGTGTGTGTGCACAGTAACTGCAGCATCATGACTCAGTGTTTTATGCTCTTACTCAGAAGACCTTTAACTCTCTGTTGTATTTGACTGTATAAAATGACAGGTACAAATATAATGTCAATTTAAACACATAAATAAAAACAAACAAAAAAGACACAAGTTTTCAGAGAGATTATTTCAAGTACTTCAATGCTTGCATAACATGTCTGCTTTAACAGCTGTTTTCATGCTCCTGTTGTTATGCACATTTCTAAATGTGCGCATGAAAAACCCTGAGTTGAAACGCTGAAAATGTGCAAAACTTATTTTATTGATATTTTGATTTTGCACATGGTAAAAGAGGTGTAAACTGTTGTATCGATGAAAGAAACATGCAGCAAAATACAAAGTAAATTGATTTAGTGGATAAATTATGACGTAGGTGTATATTAAACAAAAACCTGAGGGGAAATGCAGAAAATATTCAAAGAATCTTGAAATATAGCAAAAAATAGTTGTAAAAATGTTGTCTATGAATGAAAGCAACATGCAAGAAAATGCAATGTAGATTAATACATAAATAAATAAATACATTCATGAGGATAAATATTCTCTTTCTTCAAAGCCTGCTTAAAATTTAGTATTTTTTTTGACAGGTAACTAGTAAAGTAACAGAAGACATTTTTAAAGTAACCCTCAAAACCCTGTGAAGGTTTACTTTACAGTATTACAAAACAGTTGTTTGTATGTTACTCCGAATGCACCAGATGTCATAGTCTTACCTGAGGCAGACAATCTGTCATCTCTAATGCAGCATTTGGATACAAGCTTTTATATAAAATAATGTATACAATTATATACCGTAAGTGACCAGCAGGTGGAGCTGTGACTCCACAGATCAGCTGTTTACCTGCTGAGAGTTTATTATGAAGAAACCAGACAGCAACATGAGTCACTGACATACAGAGACATACATACAGACACACAAACAGACACGCACGCACGCCCGCACACACACACACACACACACACACACACACACACACACACACACACACACACACACACACACACACACACACACACACACACACACACACACACACACACACACACACACACACACACACACACACACACACACACACAGACAGAAACACAGACAGACTACTCACTGTCTGTCAATCTCAGACACACTTTCTCCCTCATAAACACTTTTTTCCGCTGACTTCACTTTCGCAGCTCAGCACCAACTGTCACTGAAACAAGACATTTACAGTTTTTAAGCATAATTTCTGCCTTAATACAAATAAATGGGTTCCCATACAGTACAGGTGAAATATCCACATTCAAACGTATCACCAAAAATAAGAAAACTACTACTATTTAAACCTAAATAACTAATTTAAGTACATATGTTATTTCATTTGAAATAAAACGAATGTACGTTTAGAAAATATAAACATTATACTTTATAGAAATACTATTGATAGCAAATCATTATTAGTTGCTTTAAAAATTAAATAAGATGAGAACAAATTAATAATAATAATAATAATGCTTTTTTGGGTTAGGTTGCATGAATTGTAGGTCAACAATATAATTTTCATTTATTTATTTTTTATTTATTAACTTGACCTTAACACTTAAATGTGTAAATGCACACTGTATTGGAGGTGGTGTTTGTAGATGAATACCAGCTTGTTGTTGAGTTGTAATCTGTGTTCTCATGTCTTTATCTGTATACTCCTTAAAGCTGTTGTGCACAGCCATACAAGTGTGCTTTGTTTTTCAGTGATTTTTCTGTGAACTCACTGTCAGTGTATCTGTGCAGACTGGCAGCTGAGTGTGTGAGTGTGTGCTGAGTCATGTTGTTGACCTCCTCCTCTCCTCTCGTCTTACTGGAATCAGTCTGTTATTATGAATTTGTCTATCTGCGGGGCTTTTTTTTATCACATTTTGTGCTTTCATACAAGCTTTTTTGCACTTTGTCATGTCTTCTGTTTTTTTTTTGTGCATTACTTCGTCTCAGCATGTTCTGATCCTACTGTTCTGCACAATCTGCATTTAATCTGCAGTTTGGTTGATCATTATTTTACCATCTGTGCTTTCTGCACTGTTAGCAGCTGAGAGGACGGTGTGCTGTTCATCTGTCCAACACTTTGTTCCAGTGACACATCTCAACAACTGCAGACATTCATGAAATCTGTGCCAATGAGTGCCCTTTTCTACAGAGCCTAATATTACAGAGCGGTGCAGTGATGATGTA